TATTACACCGGGCATCGGTAAATGGACCTAACAAGGATTTGACTCGTCCTCAACGACGACGCGGCGGCGATTACGTCAAGGAGGGGCGTCTGTATTTTCAACGAACGTGGAAGGCTAACGAGCGTCGCTAATGCAGGAAGGACTCAACGGCTCTATCCACGGCGCGGCGGAGGATGGACGGTCTAATATCGGATCTCATAAAATTCTAGGTCTCGTCTCGCAGGCAAATACGCTTCCACCGAGTTGCGGAGCCATTGTGATAGTCGCAGATAAGACCTTAAAGCTCGCGCGATAACGCGGAGAAGGGAATACGCGCTAACTGATTTGTAAGAGACGTTAATCCACGTTGTGCAAAGGGGGTAAACGCGTGCGCTCTGCGATCGATCGTAATGGATGGTGCTAAATTTTCAAGGTCTCGGTGCTGCAGTGAGAATGCAAATCGTCGGCGCATTAAACACGACGGCCGATCGTACGCGCCAAACGATTCTTGTCGAAAACTTCTAACGACAAATTTTTTCTAATCCGAATTTCCCAAGTTTGCATTTATCAATAATTTTCTTCAAATAACATTCGTACATTCGTATATTATTTGAAGGCAACGCGAACATAAAAACGTCATCTTTCTATACAAATGTATTAACATCGAAGACTAGATTCACTTAATTAAACGTTATATACACGCGGTCGTTGCTGACAAATCCCAAGTAGGGCGCTTAATGGGGCTAAGAGATTGGTCCGAACGCGAGACAGTGGCGTACAGTGCCATTATCGAAAACGTCGAAGAATTACGGAAATGAACGACTCGCGATGCGTTAAGCGCATTATAACGATCAGGAATTACGGGATGATTAGCGGGTCGCGCGATGGTCGTGTAACGCCGGGTCCGTCCCGAGGAGTCGATCCTCCCGGTGGGTCCTCAGCGAGGAGGAAACATTTACGGTGAGGCCCTTCTTATTAAAGTCTCGTGACGCGCTCACCACGGCGAACGATCCCGCGTCCCCATAAAAATCTCTCTCTCTTCCCAAATTGGACCGTGAATTACAAGCCGCGACTGCGGCGCGCGTTTGCGCCCCTAAACGACTCTTTTAGTCCAGCCAAGTAGATACCGTTATTAACGCACCGGCCAATTTATACGTATACACACGCACACACACACATACCTAGTGCATCGTTATGCGGTCTCCGGCTGCCAGACGCACGCGGGCACGAATCCGCGGAAGCGTATAAATTACCGTCGGTATTTCGGTAAATATGCGCAATGTCAACGCGGTGTTTCGGGCATTAATAGACGATGACGGACGGGTTCGTTGAACCGACTTGTTCAAATAAAAAAAAAAAAAAAAAAAACGTGTCTGTCAAGAGGGCGCGAGGTGTGCGATTTGAGGTGTGCGATTTGAGATGTGCTAAGAGTCAATATATAAGTGTTTGAGTGTATTACTACCATTTACAATCATTATTCTAATCATATACAACAATGCGCATGTGCGAATTTCATGCAGTTGTAATAATTGGAATAATTACTGTTTCCAAACTTCGTTTCGATCGTTTTTGCGTGCCAAGAAAATGTTATAATGAGAAATTATTATATATTATAATAACGTCGCGCGAAAAACAAGAAACACATTATAGAAGATTTTCTGACATTTAAAAACACGACGAAGACAACGACGTCTGGAAAATAATGCGATCACTCGCGGCTGTATTTGTCAATGTCACGAATTTTGTAAAAGTGATCGTACACGCGAGATTGAAGTTTGCACAGCGGGAACAATCGTAAGCTAGTAAATCAGGATTGACGAGTATCCAGGATTCTCGTTAACTCGCTGATTCCCGTCGCAGGAAGTTGATCGGACACACCGGACAAACAAACGCGGAAAACAGCACCTGCGCGTGTTCGCGATCAGCCAGCAATGGCGACACGTCGATGACGTTGAGCAAGTGAATTCGCACGATACCAGCGCATATGTATCGTGTCTATCGATGTAAAAAAAGAAAAGGAGATGACGTTGCTTTTCGCGTAGGCACTCAACGGCGACGCGATCAATGGAGTGCCACATAACGACGGATGTAGAAAATAAATCGCTAGAAAGAAGACGAAGTGCGCGTCGGCGCCGCGAAGTTCGCGCGACCACCTACGCGTATCACGACACCGAGAAAGGGATGCAATAAAGGCAGAGAATCGATCGAGAAGGCTCAATAGATAGTAAAATAAAAAAAAAAAAAAATAAAAAAGCAAAACACAAAAAGGAGAGATTCGCGAAGAAGTCGAAGAAGACAATCTCTTTTCTTTCGCGGAATGTCGCGCTTTGCATTACATACGTACAAATTAAGAACGCACTTCCCCTCCCTCTGAAGTGGATAATTAACAACGCGAGAATTATACAGCGATTGTTAATTATGTTAAAAAATATTGACATGTTTGATTAGTTGGCGCGATTTAATTGATTGCACGAGAAAGAACGCAAACATCCGGCATACAAAAGATGCTGAAGCGATGACCAGAGACACGTGACCACCTACGCGCCCGAGCGACTTTAAAATAACATTTAAAAAAAAAGGCGGAAAGTGAAATCTTGACGCGAAAGCAAAAACGGAAGATGCAATTGATAGATCTCGCGTTCCCGATTTCGAGCGCCTGCTGCTCGAGACGTAAAGTAAACGTTATGAAACATCGAGTAAAAAGTTTTGTGATTTTTCATTAAAAAAAAAAAAAAACTGGTCTAAAAATCCGATCCCACGGACTAACAATATTGCCGAGGGAATTAAATCGCGCGATCTATCTAAATAGTGAACCTTGCGAAGGAAAGATACTATTTTCTGACAGATGTAATTTAGGACGCGCAATTTTTACGGCAGCACAAGCGAATAAATAATGTGCGACAACAGAGACGATATAAAAACAATATCCTATCAATAAATATCAGGATTATACTAGCGTAAAAGCGTTATCCTTTTGTGCTATTTCTGTGCAAATTCGAGTAACACAATTTCAAGATGTGACATTCACACATGTCACAGCTCTCTTGTACTTTACTTTCTACCGTTTCTTTTTGTTGGAATCGTTTTTTCTTTTTCACGTATACGAAAACTTCAGTTATTTTTTAATAATCCCGTATTGTCTAACATTACCGTGTTAACAATAGAGATCGATTTGATTCATAATTATAATCATTTTAGTCTACTTTTGTAAATTGTTTTTTTTTTTTTTTTTTTTTTTAACTAGTCTCGGCGATTCGAGTTTTTGTATCGTAAACAGCTGAACACAGTCGAAACGTTTGGTTGTTTGTTTTTTATATATATATTTTTGAAATACAAACAGATTATCATCAAGATCTCGCTTTTACACTCAATAAGTCTACACGTCTCGTGTTTGCTGTTAATTTGCTATGAATAATTTATCTTATTATATCATCATCGAACCGCAGACTCTTTGTTTTCGATATTTCTTGTATCTGTTTCTATTATTTTTTCCAGTCATTTCAGGTACTGATATAATGTTAATTTCACCGACGGCAAGAATGACTGCTTCGTCACCTTTAATGTTTCCGTTTTGTATCGCACGCGACAAGTGCAATAATTAGTTATGCATGAGAGAAGATTTGCAGACGTAATATAAAAAAGAAAAACCAAAACAGAGAAAAAAGTAATCTGCGCGAGATAATTCATGTAATAATTCATAGAGAGACGATCGGCAAACAAACCAAAGAAGATCGGAGAAAAGCGCAGGCTCTTATCTGTATAAAAAAAAAAAAAAAAACAATCTTAAAATTTTGTACACTATATCATGCAAATCGTCTCAATCTCTGATTGAATGTCATGAATTTGAACTTTCGCGTTTTTTTCTTCTAAATATAAATATATTTATTATTAGAATATATTTAGAAAAAAAATTATTAACGACAAAAGAAACGACGAACGATCTTGCGTGTTCGATCAATCGGCGTATAATAATCTCATCGGATAATTAATGATTTCCGCGTAAAGCACATCAGTTTATCACTATCTAACGTATTTCTTGATGATGCAAAATATTCTCTTTCAGTGTGTGTATAGATAGATACCGCGAATCGCGCACGTCAGCTTCGCATCTGCCTAAGCCTCTTTGAACAAAACAAAAAAAAAAAAAAAAAAACAAAACAAAACACACAATTGTGACATGAGGAGAAGACGAACGAAACGAGAAGCTGAGAGGTGGAGGAAGAGTGCGAGAGAGAAAAATCTTCGATGTTATGCCCGGCAGCGATGGAAGATGCGCGACATTCTCGGCTCCGCGCTCGACTCCCGGGCAATACATGTATTCGATGATATGACAATAATAATAGTTAAAAATATATAATAATCGCAATAATAAAGAATAATAATAATAATAATAATAAGTGACAATAATAATGGTGACGAATAGTATAATAGCAATAATAATATATATAAAATCACCGGGTTAAAACGCCGACTGTGTCACAATTACAACATTTTTACTCAAGACTGGACAATAAACGTTACAATAATAAAATAATTATTATAATGCACAATAATAGTAATCATAATAAAACGTAATAATTATATAATATAATGATGAGAACATAGCTAAAATCTTTTGATCTATACATAGACATAGAACTTTCGAATATATCGGTATATTCCGCGCGCGTTTTTTTGTCATATAATATATATATATATCTTTTTTTCTTCTCTCTTTATATTAATAATTATATAATGATACCGTTTTTGTATAATAATACAATATTTTCATTTATATATATATATATATATATGTATAGACTCGCGTGTGTATGTACATATGTATATTTATGTGTACTTACTTTTTTTTATACAGAAGGGGTTTTTCGCGTGAGGAGGGATCTGTCTTGCTGTCTCGCTAAGATTTCGCACACGCTTTTCCGACACGCGTTCCCTCTTCGATGTGCGCCCTGTCTCTTTTTTATATATCTAGTTAATCTGTCCCTCTTTTTTTTTTAATTCGTCGCGCCGCATATCCTTTGTTTTTTTTTCTCTCTCTTTCTTTCTTCCTTCGTGTCTCTTCATCTCTTTCCTCCATTTATTCCAGCTCCCGCGTCTAGTTTTTTCGAACGTTCTCGCTCGCCGACAACGACGATGACGACAACGACGACGACGACGACAATAAAACTCATACTCTCTCTCTCTCTCTCTTTCTCTCACTTAACTTACTAGCTTTATCTAGTACATTATTTACAGTCCATATTTACTTATGTTACATCATCCGCCAGGTTTGCACCGAGCAAATCCCGCGCGAACACAGCATTCGTCCCTTACGTACGCTCTTTTCTTGACGCCCGTTCGTCCGTCCGATTTGCGAATTTCAAGATTTCTTCGTGAAAGAAAACAAGGGAAAAACACCCTTGCGATGCATGTTGCGTGTCCGATAATCGAATCTTCTCGCGAACGAGAGAGAGAAGAAACACCTCGATTCTTTTCGTCTGCACTCTCGTCGAAGTCCACTCCGCGCACTCTGTTTTTAAACTATCCCTTCTTGGATTTCCGTCGGCAACCACTTCCGTTCACCGACGATGACGAAACAACAATAACAAACAACAGCAAACAGCCAACAAGATCTGCGAATCGGCTCCACGAACGGACGAACGGGTCTCGACCTGGCTGGCGCGGAAGAGGAGTAATCACCACGGCTATCCACAGTGGTATTCTTCGAGAGAACGACATTGGATCTTCTTTGGTCGTCGAGTCACTTTGTCGATGGAGAGAAACAGCCGTTATCGCGAGTTGAAGACGGCGAAAAAGATACTTTTGACGACTTTTAGATATCCTAATGAACTTGAACACAGGATGGCCATCGATGCTTTGTTGACAGCTGCAACATTTTACGACGACATGTCCTCTGTTTCTTCAATATTTCATTCTCTCTTCGGGTTTGTGAGCGCGGTCAAGGTCGAAAAAAGATCGGCGATCGGGCGCGTCAGCTTCTCAGCCTCCCCAATGGACCGGTCTCGGCCTCGTTAAGCCCCGTTGAACCTCGTCGAACGAGCCACCATTCGGTACCTTCGTTCCGGTAACGAGCGCCGTCCGGCAGACAGAAAGGGCGCCGCGAGTCGATCAGCTACGAAGTCGTGTAACTGCCGGTGCGCGCCTGAAGGTAGTGATGATAGAACGGCGGCAGAGTCGTTGTCTCCGCCGTCGACGACACGTTCGTCGAATTTTGCGAGGTTACCGCGAGGCCCAACGGGGGAGGCCCCGGCGAACGCTAGTGAGCAGCAAGCGAGTGGGCCGTGAGGGCCTGAGGGCTGAGCATCGGCGGACTGTGGCTGTGGCCCATAGGCGAGCCGTGCAGGTGATCCTGAGGATGATAACTTTGATGGAGGCCGCTCTGGCTTTGATGTCCCGGTGGCATGCCCTCCATGATACCGTCGCCTAGCGTGTTAGGCGGCGTCATCCTCTTCTCTTTCTGCCGTCGATTGCAGAACCACACCCTGACGACCTCTTTCTCAAGCTGCAACGAATCCGCCAGCGAGGTGATTTCCTGAGCCGAAGGTTTAGGCTGCTTGTGGAAGTGTTGTTCGAGCGCGCCCTTTACCGATACCTCTATCGACGTTCTCTTCTTCCGCTTCCTGCCTTGAGCGGCGATTTTGTCGATGCTCGTCGGCGAGCCGGTCGTCGAGTCCGCCTCCTCGAGCCACTTCTGCAGCAGCGGCTTCAGCTTACACATATTTTTGAAGCTCAACTGTAGAGCTTCGAACCTGCATATTGTCGTCTGCGAGAAGACGTTGCCGTAGAGAGTACCGAGCGCGAGCCCGACGTCCGCCTGGGTGAAACCAAGCTTGATGCGCCGTTGTTTGAATTGCTTGGCAAAGGCTTCGAGGTCGTCCGACGTCGGCGTGTCCTCCTCACCTGCGCTGTGATCCCTGTCGAGCGGATGACCCCCGTGCAAGGGATGTCCCGACGGTGGACTGTGATTATGCGCGTCCCTCAAGTGGTGAGGTAGACCGGTCTGATGGTTGTGCAGCTGATGTGGATGCTGATGCGGATGTTGATGCAGCATACCGTTCATTGCCGCATGGTACTGCTGAAGTGTAGTGGGCGAGGCCGCACCACCGCTGGGATTGTAGTGCGCCGACGGGACGACCGGTGCGTGCCAAGAATGCGGCGAAGCCATACCCGGGGATTGATGCGGACCCCGATGGTGCATGCCCTGGTCCGCCGCGGTCGCCGCGGCCGCGGTCAACGGTTTTACGTCGAGGCTCGTGTTCGCCTGATGAGGATGATGATGGGGATGATGCGTAGTGTGATGCATGCCCATCGAGGCCGCCCAGGGATCACTGCCAGGTTGCAGGCTCACCCAGGGATTCGCCGACGAGAGACTCGCCGGATGGGAAAGTCCGTTCGGCGACGGTGAAGATGACACCTGATGGTGATGGTGATGGTGGTGATGATGCTGCGGCGCCGGCATGTACTTCATCTCGCCGGCGTCGGCGGCGCTGCGGGGCGAGCCCGAGGAATAGCCACCAACGGCGATGTTCATCCCGATCGTTGTACCCGAACCACCATCCAGGTCGGTAGACACTGCGCTACTAACCGGCATGTACGTGGTAGCGGCCATCTACTTTCCGCTCGTCGAGAGGCTTCACGAAACCCTCTCGGTGTGTGCTTACCCGCCGTGGAACGCCCACGGGGTGTATATTACTAGCCAGCACACAGAGAGTCTTCCGAACGTTGATGAATTTTGAGAATAAATTTTTCACAAGAATATTGACGATGATTAATAATTTCCTTTTTGTTGATCTCAAGATGTTGTCAAGTAGTCACGTCACGATAACGTAAACTTGAATGAATCTTCGCGAAACTGTTCCCTTAATAATCACTGATCACTGGCACAATCCACAGTTTGCGATGATACACCGGACACCAGACGGAGCTGGTTGTCGCTCTCGATGAGGTTTCGTCCATAGTTTCTCGAGTTGTGTCATGTACGCGACAACACGAAAACATCGACGAATCCTTACGGAAGAGAGACACAATATTTTATTCTGTTCTAACAGGATGGGTCTTCGTGAAAACGAAGCGCTGCTCCGAAAATCGGAGCACCGCTCTATCGCGGCGCTCCGGAACTCGCTTCTTCCTCTCTTTTGTAATCTTCCGTGATCATTCGTCCCCGCACGAGAGAATCACACGCGTAATCAAAACCTTTCTTCTTGGGTCTCGTGGGTAGAGACCGACCCTCCAATTGAGTCGGGAAGTCACTCGCGACGAGAATATCGATTCAGCCGAGATCACTCATTCCTGATGTGGTTGTCAAACTCGTTGTCGAATAATCACTATCTCGTATTGACGACGACGCCGACGACGAAGACAATGTCTACGTTGATGCGAGGATTATTCCGCACTGGCGTCGTGTCCGTGGCTCCGGCGTGTTGGACGCGTACCGATGGCGACGATGCACGGCGCGACTACACTTAGGGGTTGCCACCGCGGACCGACGACCGAGCAGCGTACGAGCGACCGACCGGCTCGGCGTAAAGGGACGTACGACGGTAATCGCGGAACGGAAGAGACTCGACTCGGCGGGAGCAGAGTAGGTATATGATGTCGTGCGTATGTGTTCCTCCTGGCGGTGGATGTCCCTCTCTTTACGTGAGTGTACGTGTGCGTATACATACGGTGTGTGCGTGAGATCGTGTGGGTGAGAGAGTACGGGGAGAGAGTGTGTGTATGAGAGAGGGTGAGAGAGCGAGAGAGAGTGTATATATGTAGGTGTGTATGTGTGTGTGTTGGCGGAGGAGAGACGGGTTAGAGAGATCTCGCTCGGGCTCTCATGCGTTATGCATGTCGTAGCTGAGAGCGACTGACTGCCTAGCGCCGCAGCCTGCTCGAGGTTCCCGAGGTACCCGGAGCAGTTTGTGGTGGAGGATTGTCATGCGCGCAACCGCCGTGAATATCCCTACCACCGTTGTCTGCGTCGCTTGCAATTGGCCGGGCTTGCAAGGTGGCCGTCGACGTACGTCAGCATCAGGCGGAACCTACTATGACCGCGCCTACGAAGGCAGGCGAGGCACCCCAGGCGCCAGTCCTTCTCGACCCCCCCTCGTCGTCGTTCGGCTACGCTCTCGTCTGGCTAACGACGCTCGTTCGCTGA